GTGCCGTGTCCCGTCAGGATGTTAACGATCATGGTTCTCCACAACTTTCTGTCCTTTGTAGCGCTTAATAAATGTTGTCCTTTTGTTGTTTCTCCTGAAGTCTGTTCCATCATCCATTTAATCAAGCTCACTAAATATATTGTTTTCCTCTGTTCCTCTTGCTTTCAATCTGTCCCGTGAGTATCAGAGTTTCCAAGCCGTCTATCTAAGCAATTATTGCCCTAGAAATGTCAACTGGTAGAGGATGGAAAGGCCATTACAGCATTCCTTTAATCCCAGCTCCAGCAAAGGAGACATTACGTCGAAAGGGTCCAGCTTGGGTAAATAGAAAAGTTGTTAGTCTCCAGTATGATAACACAACGTCATATTCCGAAGAACAAAAGAGTAAGAGTGAGAGGTTTTTCCACATCTGCCATACTCACCAGATTTACTACCAGCAGATTTTCAATCAGTAGAGGACGGTCCTTGGTATGGCGATAAACTACGTCCGGCAGCAAAACTTCTAATGGGGAGGTTTTGAGGGCGTAAAACTACCTCTTAATTGCTGTTGTTCCCAGGTCCACCTTGACCCGGAGTGCTAGCACCTGTTAGGGTCCCAGATATCGGCAAATAATGAACCTCTAAACTAAAAAAAAAATCCAACAATAGATTTTAATAGTAAATAAAGAAATTCCAGCAATAGATCTTGATAGAAAAATTCCAGCAATATATTTTAATGTAAAAAAAACAAACTTCCAGCAATTATATAATAATAAAAAAAAGCATTTCCAGCATTAGATTAGAAATTCCTGGTATAGATTTTAATATTAAAATAAACATTTCCAGCGATAGATTTTGATAGAAAAAAATTCTAGCAGTAGAGTTTAATAGTAAAAAAATTTAGCAAAGCTCCCAAGAAAATTTAATTTCGGCATTGAATGACCCATGAGGCGTTGATATGCTGTTAAACAGACAAATCAAACGAAACCAACTCAATGAATAGCACATTTCATTTGTGGTGGAAAGTTTCTGAACAAAGAAGAAATTGGGAACAGATTTTCCAATTTTTCTTTCATTTTTTTTTTTTTTTTTTGGAGGGCGGAACCAAATTTCTTTAAACGTGGAATCGAAAATGTGTCTTCCCGTTTGGTTAGAGCTATTGAAAATGAAGATGATTACATTTTTCATAAATAATATTTAAATAAATTTAAAACGCATGCATCCTCAAGACGAGGAATCAATTCGCTGAAATCCTTGCTTTGTGTCTGAAAAGACCATCGCTGCATTCGTTTATTGCCGACTCGAGTAAATGAGGCATGACATCAGGGGTATCCTGCTGTTGGGGACAGAAAAGGGGTGTCATTCTGATGCATAATACTGAAAGAGCTCACTCCCATGGTTCGTATGGGAGATTTCATACTCCCTAGATTTATCTCTGCAAATTTTCATTTCTTTCAATCACAAGAACAAAGACGACATTGAAAAAAGATTTTTCAACATTTTATTTGTGTTGGACGGGGGGATAGATTTGGCTAAACGTAGATTCGAAAATTTGCCTTTCCATTAGGGTTTTATTTGGGCACCTCGACGCCTTGTAAAGGTTAGAAAGTTTGTCTCAATTAAGAATGAGTAGTGAGTTCCATTCTTACTGGGGGCCTCACACTTTTGGCCTTGTGCCACATCTAAGCTACGCTTAGAAAATCATTTCAGCACCTCGACGTGGTATAATGTTTAGCAAACTTGTCTCGCTAGAATAATTACAATTGAGTTCGATCCTCACTGGGTGATCCACACTTTCGGCCTTGTGCAACATCTAATCTACGTTTAGAAAAGCACCGTTAGGCTCAGTTGTTAATAATGAAAGCGATTATAAATAATATTTAAATAAATTTAACTTAGATCTGTTTTTATATCCTTTCTGTTAAGACGTAATTGCTTCCTGAATCTCGCATTACATAGGCACTTACAGCCTCATTCACTTCTACACCTTGATTCAAAAACACTCGCACTATCCTTATTTCTTTTTTTCTCTTCTGTGTTTGTAATAAAAATGTCTTATTTCCGTTTGTCTATAACAGTTTTATAGTAATTACTTGAAGAGACTCGCAGATTAAAAACACTTGTTTTAATTGTGTCAAATAAAAAACAATAATGTTGATTCGCAGAAAACAGGTTTTGTTATTTCTAATTTACGTTCATAGTTCGTGTAGATCAGGAAAATACCTAGATATAATTTGACACTGGTCTCTGTCTGTCAAAACTGACAATAGATTTTGCAGCCGTTTTATGACCAATAATCGAAAAAATAAGATAACTGACCTTACATTTTGCCCTGGGGTCCTTTTCCAGAATAGCTTTGCTGTTAAGAAACAATGCCACATTTTCTATCAATTTCTTACTTTTCCTCATTCTTTCTATCTCTCTATCGCTCTCTCTCTCTCTCTCTCTCTCACACACACTCACACACACATACATACAGAGACTTTTTAAAAATGAATATTCAGACTCAAATTTTTATTTTTTTAGAATATAACATGGTCGTTTTTTGTTTCTCACGTAAAAACTAAGAAGATTTTTAAAATTCTGCACAATGTACAGACAGGGATGCCTACTCTCTCCAACACTCTTCAACTGGATAGAATTATGCAGGAGCCAGTTTCCTGTGTATGACGATAAACTACATCCAACATTAGAGGTTTTGAGAAGCGTGGAATCACTTCTTAATTGTTCCAAGGTCCACTATGATCCGGGAGGGTCACACCTGTTAGGGTCCCAGATATGGGCAAATAGTTAAAACCCAAAACAAAGACAAAACACTATGAAAGTATAAAAATATATTTTTATAGTAAAAATCTTGGTTTTCTCTTCTATATACGTTTGTGTATGCGTATGTGGAGCTGAAATCTATAAGTAGGTAGGAATTGTAATATTAAGCATTTCCTTATGTGGAAACATTCAACATTGATTGAGTTAGTAGTACTATCGGTTAAAATTTAAAGTTTTTCAATGAAAACTATTTTTCAGGAAAATAGGCTTCTTTAATGCAGTAACTGTTTTATTAAAGCTTAAAGAAAATCGAAACCTGAAAATTTATAAACATTTCCTATTTGTTCCTTTTTTATATATATATATATATATATATATATATATATATATATATATATATATATATATATATATATATGTTTAAATATTTAATAAAATAATTATAATTTAAATATAAATATATTATAAATATACTTCTATATCGAGCACTTTTAAAAATAACATAAATAGTAAAAAATTTTGGATCATTAATTTAACTGTTCTTTCCTATTACATCAATACACTCACACATACATACATACATACATATATATATATATATATATATATATATATATATATATATATATATATTTTTTTATCATACACAGTAATTTATTCTTGCAGCCTGTGTCTAATACGCTGTAATCAATGTGGTCCTTCACATTTTATTTTTCAATATTCTGACTTAATAGTATTTTATGAAACTGGAATCACAATTTTAATACTTATCAATCTCAGGAACAATGTATAACAGTACAGTAAGTTTTATGGATAATTAACATGGTAAGCTCTTGTAAATTATACTCTTAGGTTGATCTGGTCAAGTCAGCATTGTGGCAAGTACAAGACCAAAACATTAAGCAAACTATTGATAGGTCCTCCATCTGGTTAGCACACAAAAAAGGATTTGACAGAAAAATACAAATACAAAAACAATGAAAATGCTGAACAGAATCAATTATTAAATATATATATATGAGATAAGGATATTATATTTTTATATATCAAGAACAGTACTGTGGAAGTTGTATGACAAAGTGAACTTGTGACGCATTTCGTCCTTCCGTACTTCATCGGACTGAATTTGTTATGTTGGTAGGATTACACATGCGCACGACAGAGGGGTCCTGGGAATTTTAGAATTTTTTTTTTATTTAGCCGAATTCATTTAGGCTCTTTTTGTTTTTCATTCCATCACTTTTGTAAGTAGGTGTTCCACACTGTGATATTAGAAGGTCTACCAGAAATATTGAAATTGTGGAATCTTCCACATTAGCCTTCCACCCTTTCGGAAAGATGTATTCTTCCCTAAAAAAAAAAGCCTTAACCAATCACCACTTCATTTCTGTTAATTCAATTTTCTATTGGTTAAGAAACACTAAACTGTAGCAAAATCGAAACAGAACCTTTTCCCGCCGAGCTCCCTGAAGCCGATTTTTAAACACCAAAATCTATATAAACAACCATATGACTCAATTCAAGTCAGTCAGTCATTGAGTTTCGTGAGATGCTACCAAACTCCACGCGTGTCAATTCACTGACTCAACCACGCTTCAAAATTCTCAACAAACTCAACACAGCATTTAATCAACCATTGTCCGCGTGGTAATCAAATTACAATTGACTTAAAAAGTGAACGTTTTCACTACACTAACAACTCTTCACAACTCAATTCTAACTAACAAGTAACACACGCATAGACACTAGTATTTGAACGAACACATTTGAGATTTTTCCTTGCAGAAACTAAATTATTTTAATTTTTCTAACAAATCAAAACCATTAACTTTTATTGACCAAATTTCTGCATGAACATTCTTCATAACCTTGTCTCAATTGCCACAATCAACAAACATCCTGTTATCCTTGCATTTATTAAAAATCTCTTTATTGTTGGATCTCTAACCACTGTGTTTTTTAGTAATTTCTTTCAATGCAAATTGTCCTTATATTCTTTATTTGATCTACGTGTTGTGGGATAATGCATAATAAGCACGCATAATCTTTGCCTTACATAAATTACCTTCTGACACATTTTCACCCAGCTACAACCCGCAGCAAAATGTAAGAGCCAGGGCACAATTTTACTGGCTCTTACAACAAAAACAATTCTAAAATTCCCATGATCCCTCTGTCGTGCGCATGTGTTGTCCTACCAACATAACAAATTCAGTCCGATGAAGTCTTGAAAGAGGAACGCATCTCAAGTAAAGTTTTTCCACGTTGTCATACAATTTTATCTATCTATCTATCTATCTATCTATCTATCTATCTATCTATCTATCTTATTGTTGTTGTGTGGTAAGATGATGGATCCGGTTATACCGTGCACTTTTAATATATTAGGCTCCTATTCCGTGGTCTCATAGTCTGTGCACTTTTATGGACATAATTTAAGTATTTAGTCTTGGGCAAGTTTGTTTAGATTTTTTTCTTTCCTTCTGCTTCTCCTCTTAAAGTTGGTAAACATCCTTGTCAACCTGGTGATATTGGTCATACCATCTGCTACCGTGCGGTTATTTCCAACTCACCGATTTTAATGGCCATGTGTACTAATGTGTATAAACCCGCCATGTTGATGTAGCATCTTGATTGGCCCGAGTGGTTGTAAAAATGACCATCTCACCAGAAACCGTCACCAGTGACTTGATGAGTGTGCGTAACGTATGATTTTTTTTTTGACAGATTTTATATGTTAAACGTTATATGGGCATCCACTAAAAATAAAGTTTAAGTGATAATATATATATATGACTCACCATATATGTTGCCAAAATGGACATTCAGTATTACGCATCGGAGAAACTAAGTGCATCAGCGCGTTGATCTGATCACTTTTCATCTAATGTCAGTGGTGCTTCCCTCATGTCGACATATGGTTGATTCAGCTGCTCCAAGTATGTGCACATGAGGGGAAAACCGTATGACAGGTAGATATAAAATCAACCGCCTGAGTGGGTAAAGGTGGAAATCTCTCACATCATGGATATGAGAGATACCCACCTTGAATGTTTGATAAAATACGCAAAACCACCACAAAAGAGGCAGCTGGAAAAATACAATGTTACATATAAGATATTTGGCCTTGTGTTTTTATTCATTCGCATACAATATATATATATATATATATATATATATATATATATATATATATTTATATATTGTATGGATTTCAAGCTTGACGAGAGGATTCGTAAAGTGTTATGTTCTTGGTTCTTTCTTTATCTTATTTCCAATTTTTTCCTCGGACATCAATTTGTTATATTACAAGTTGAGCTATCCGAGGTTTTACAAACGAGTATTACCATTCATATATATATATATATATATATATATATATATATATATATATATATATATATATATTCTGTTTATACGCTATTATTATAGATAAAATATATATTCTGTTTATACGTTATTATTATAGATACAAATATTTAAGTAAATGCTTTGATTCTAATAAACAGTATTAACTACATTAACCGGCCTGAATGTCCAAGAAAATTAATAGAAAATGTTCTCCGACAGGAATCGAACATGTATCCTTACATGGAACCGTCATATAGCCTCACGTGCTATACCATTTAGCTACAGAGGAAGCGTCTGTTTAGCAAAGTCAAATAAAACAATAACGTATAGACAGAAAATATATTAAAATAATTGTTGGACTTAGTCCATTTCATAATATATGATGTCATTTTCTACGTTAAGATACGTTCCCGCAGATATGAGCATTTGAGAAAAATCATGGGAAATCTTTTGTTTAATTACAGTAATTACATCTGCTAATCAGATGCTTCCTTGTATTACAGTGCATTTCTTGCCTTATTCTATTGTAATATACGGAAAAATATTCGTGGATATGAAAGGATTATGATAAAAATAATCAGACATAATCTTTGTAATTTATTCAATCAGACATGTTTAAAAGAGAATTTGCTGCCAAAACACACACACACACACACACACACACACACACACACACATATATATATATATGTGTGTGTGTGTGTGTGTGTGTGTGTGTATATAATATATGTATATATGAATCCGTCAGAATTATAAGATAATCACCAAATAGGGAACGTTTAACAATATGACATTCACATTTTTCTCTGATGAAGCTTAAATATAAGTAGTGAATTTTCGTATTACTGAATTGATAATATTATTTATCATGATATATATATTTATATAGTACGACTATAAAGTTACTAAGATTTTAATAATGTCCTTACGTTTATGAGTAATATATCGTGTGTTTCTGATTATAATGTCAATCCTTATTAAAATATAACTTGTTTGGGAGTGTCAAGTTTTATGCAAAGTGCAATCTTAGTTTTGTTCATTTTTTTTTTCATAAATAAACAAATAAATAACTTCAATTTGTAAAAGCTATACAGACATTTATTTCATATGCTTGGATGAATTATTATATTATTATTTCACAAGTTACTCCGCGCTCGTTGAAACTTCATGAACACATTTAATCGTTTATGTTGTTATTTTTCCTACTGTGTTGACTTTAACATAACTTGTAGCAAATTTTGTTTGTTTTTTCTTTGCATTTTGTAAACAGTTCATTTACGGATAGACCACAATCTTTCTACTGGGTTAATATTTGGAGAGGTTGGGAGTCATTTTATTAAGTTGGTGACATTGAAGCCTATTTTGGTAAGATCGGTAGTTAGCTTTGCAGAATAAAAGAGAGTATTGCATAAAGAGTAAATTCGGTTTAAAAGTTCTTCGTTGTAACCTGTACCACTCGAAAAACGTGTTTCCAAAGAATTAAAAATAATTCTTTGTATTTATCTTATTACCGTAATCCTTGAAGGAACCTATAATTTTATTGCCTAAAACATTAAACTCAACGCTACTTTATGAAGAACGGACGTCTCACCTATTTTTCGCTTCAATGCCGCTCTATATTTATCGCTAAAAACAACTGGTGAGAAATGAGTTTTCAGCTCTCAAGGATATCCTTTGCCTTGAACGTCTTATCTGACTTGAGCTCACTCCAAATCTCGTTGAATTCGTATATGAGATGTCACAACAAAATTGTCCAAATGTTGTAATCGTATAATTGTCCATCCCACAAAATGCTTAATATTTAAAAAAAAAAAACCCACTAAACTAATTGGGTTTCTAGGTTTTCAGATAAGACGTTTAGCCATGCTGACACCATTTGTCGTAAGAATTTGTTCCTATCTCCCATTGAGTTATTCAGCTAGAAAGAAAGCAGGTTAAAATCTTTTTGTGTCAGCCCCACGAAAAGATTCAACTCAATCCTTAAGACGTTTGGCACGTGAGAGAGGAGTTTCAGCTATGACAGTCCAAAGAGCAGGGAAAAAATTAAAAAATGAAATCGTACGTGAAATGTGTGAGGCACCTTGTTACTCCAGAACAGAAAGTTAGAACGTTAGATAGGGCGAATATCATCTTGAATAAATTGGAAGATGATCCTAGATTAACGCATATATAGATTTGAACTCTATTTCAACCCTTCATGAGCTTCCGATCCTTAGCTATGATTAATTAATGATGAACATATCATTTTCGTTTATGATCGATATAATCACGCTTCTTTTGTTAAGCTTGGAGAGTAATTACATGTTTTTATTGCTCAATAGTGCTATAAAGACCTCGGAGAATTCCAGTAAAATACCTTTAATCATTTCTATGATATACCGGTTCAAATCTTAATCTAAGAAATGTATAATTTTAGTGTTGCAAGATTTGGACAATTTTGTTCTTACACCAAGTATATATATATATATATATATATATATATATATATATATATATATATATATATATATATATATAAGAGGTTGTAGTGGTTCCAACGAGAGAAAAGTATAGTATATTAAAAAGAAGAGAAGAGAGGTTCCGCAAACGTTTTTGGTTGTAATGTGGATTTATTTAGAAAAAAATATTATGCTTTGTAATAATTTTACTACACGTGTTTCTGGTCTCACGACCGTCTTCAAGTAAAAGCGGAGATTTTCACATATTATTAAAAATAATTAATTTTTTCCTTATGTTTTTCAATGTTAAATATTCTCGATATGAGACATTTTCTCATATCGAGAATATTTAACATTTCTCATTCAGTTATCTCCTGCTAATTTTCCCTCTGAACGTTCAGAGGGAAAATTAGCAGGAGATAACTGATAACTGACATCCATCAAAACATGGCACGTGGAACTAGAACAGCCTACCCCAGTGATCGAAATAAAGGGTTCAGTTCGAAATTCCAACCACCTGAAGAAGGCCGGAGCGTACAACGGCCGAAACGTTGTGATAAATATGGCGACAAAGATGAGGACAATAGTCCGACTAATGTAAATACTGTACATAATACCTTATCTCAGAAATATAGACAGACTCTAATGAAAATATGTCGGAAAAAAGCCTTTAGAAATAACTTTGTATATATTTCGGACACAAAACTGAGCATATATATATATATATATATATATATATATATATATATATATATATACGTATTATTTATTTGGTGGTGTGAGTTTTTATTTGATTATTATTAAAAGTAGAAGACTCAGAAATTAGTGCACTTTCAATATATTTTCGCTTATACTAATGCATCGAGGGGGCGGCATTGTTTTGTCAAAGAAACTTTTTGAGTTCACATAGTCTTTTATATAATTTCTTAGATGTTTCACCTACGCATGTCTGGGATTACTTTTAATGTCTACTTTATAAATTCCTGCCACACATTTAAAGTTGTTACTTTTATTATAAGGAAAGCACACAAACACATACACGCACGCACACACAATGTGTGTGTTTATTTGTTTTGTCGAAGTTTTGATTAATCAAGTAGCTATCAAAAAAATCACTTGAAGTTTTAAAGCGATAGGAATGATAGCGATAGTTAGAGAATATGATTTATGAAAAACCGAAATTATCACTCTTAATGTCGACATTAAATACACTTTAAACAATTTTATGTTTTGACTTGTTCGAACTTGTCAGCTGGAAGGAAAGTGGATTCAAAATAAAAAAACTCTACGATTCTCGAAAACTGAAATAATCAAACGACAGAATGTAATGTTTATTCCGAGCAAAAACGCCCTGACACGATTACAGTTTAGAAGAATTTGAATTATGTCAATCATTCTTTCCTAAACATTAAGAAGTCAAATAAATATTCCTGACAAACACTAACTTCAGTCTATGCCAGCGAGTCTTAACCGCCGTGCCGCGGTACATTAGTGTGCCGTGCGATCCTCTTAAGTGTGCCGCGAAATATTTTCACGGGATATATATATATATAT